AAAAAAAAAAAAAAAAAAAAAAAAACTGTGATGATACGAGCGGGGCGCCCCTGCTTGCCTCAGATTGGCCCGGTGGCCTGGCCGGACTGGGTCCAGGCAAAATCCCGATCAAGGTCCCGGGCATTCCCGATGCGGGAAAAAATATATACATAAAAAAACATCTGAAAAAAATCTATGTCATGCAAAATTGCATACCAAACATCTTTTTTTTTTTTTCTTTTTTTTTAATTGCCCTTTTTATAGGCGTACCAAACATCTTTCGCTCGAGGGTAGTCATGAAATTCGCTATGGAATCCGAAATAAAAAATAAAAATAACATACTGAATTATATCATACCCGTTTACGCCCCCCTACGAGCCCTTTCCAACCCTGCTTATACCCCATAGACACCCTTTGGTGAGATATCGCCAAACTCAAAGATAAGGCCAGATTTGGGCATATCTCAGTGGGTACAAAATTGCCTCACTGCCAAATAAAATAAAATAAAATAAAATAAATTGACCCCCTTTTTTATGTGGGGTCACCCCCCGGGCGAAGTCCGGGAGGGGCGACTCTAGCAACATAGCTATAACATATTACTAACCACTAACTGCTTTTTCCTAAAGCGGATGCCGGGCCTGATTACCGGTTTAAAATAATATATTAAGTTTTTCATTAAAAAAAAGGGAGAAAAAAGAGTCGACACGCCAAATAAAAAAAAAAAAAAATCAAAAGAAAAAACAGAAGTCCAGAATTTTAGTACGCGCAGCGAACATCTCAGCTTTTTTCTTTTTTTTGGCGAAGATCTGGTTGAGTAGCTGTTCTCATCAGTTTAACCTCTCTCTCTCTCTCTCACACACACACACACACACACACACACACACACATCATAATAATTATATAGCTATCGTGAAAGAGAAGTGCCTAGTAAACCGTCGGCAGAGAGGGAGAAGAGGACAACGATATATATACGTATACATATGTATATATATAGTCAAAGAGAGCTGCTGCCGGGTAAACCGTAGGCAGAGAGGGAGGGAGAAAAGGACAACAAACGAGGGCCTGTATGTACTTATATATTGTCAAGCAGAGCGGTAAACTGTAGGCAGAGAGGGAGAGGTAGAAGAGGACAACAAACGAGGGGCTGTGACAAACTATTTCGTGGGAGTTTCACCTACCTACTCATCAGGAAGAGGCTGAACCCTCAAAAACAGTCGGCAGAACCGCCTAACTGACTTATTACACTGTAAGTGATAATCCACCTTTAAGTTAACCCCGGTTGTGGTTAAGCATCAATAACTGCCCGACAACTGATAGCCCTCCGAGGTGGTGGGGACCACCAACCACTGCCCTCAACGTACCTGTAACGAAAATCAAAGCAGCCTATCACTCACCCACACCAGGTGGAAAACTCTACAGACTGTTCAAAAAAAAAAAAAAAAAAAAAAAA